CGTGATTTTTATTGCTACATAACAATCAAGGTAAGATCTAAACTGTAATCATATGTGATTTTCAGATTTGATATGCTAGTTTTAGGGTTTATTGCTTTGGTATTCAATGTTGTGTGTTCAAAGTAGAAAACCTAGATCAAAGCAATTAGGGTTGCATGAACACCATAGGAATGATGTTGTGCTAATAATTCATCAGTGATATAAGAGCCTAGGTCATTTTTCTAGTTGAATAGATGCAAAAGTGAACTGCCAAAGGATCAAAAATTCGAATTTTTGTTGTCTGTGCAGCTGAATCGGCAGGTCCATCAGTAGACTCGGCGAGTGCAGGGTGCAGTTGCAGTCATTTTCGATTTTTTGACGAGTTTTTGATGAGGATAATTACCTAAAATCGTTTTTCTTGCCTAAAAATCGATTTTTCATGATTGGTATGTTATCCTTATCAAAATTAAAGGATTTGGTTAAATATGGATAATATAGGATTATTATGATTCAAATATTTGGCCTAGTAAGTTTGAAAAGTTTAAATTTACACACTTTAGGTTTTATAGTTTAAGTTTGAACTTAAAAGGTTTAGGTTTTGAAATTTAAATAGTTAAACCCTAATATTTTGAAAGGTTTCAAAATTTGTCCTCAAGTTTTGGAATTTAAAATTTAAATAAAATGTATTAATTTTGAAATATTAAATTCTAAAACCCTAGTATTTTGAAAAGTTCATATTACACTCTTATGGTTTTGAAAAGTTCATATTACACTCTTATGGTTTTATTAAATTAATTATGTATAATTAAAAGAAATTTAATAAATCCATAATGATATGGTTTGTGTTTAATTAAATTAAAAAGTGTAATTTTAATATATTAGACCACATAATATTTTAAAAGTGTAAAATACATTATTATACAACATAAAAATTAAAAGTCTAATATTATATATGTATGAGTAAAGAGTCACTCTTACCGTTATTATGCATCATTCACAATGCTGGTCTATAAGGGGTGTTTAAGGAAGCGGCATGTATGAGTAAAGAGTCAGTCAACCGAATGGGTAGGATTATAAGTATAATGAAATACGAAGTAACTAAACATTTTTACAAATTCTCAAATCTTAGTTACTTTAGGAAAAATGTGGAATTGGTGCTAATCCATGAAATTGCACAATGCACATTGTTGGTCGTTAGTGGAGCGTGTGTGGTTAACCGGCACACTAATATGGGACCAATGAAGGATGGCAAAGGGTAGCTTGTAGACTATCATAGATCAATGGAGCGTGTGTGGTTAACCGGCACATTGATTAGGTGATGGACATCTTCGAGAGTACCAAGCTAATTTGCATGGTTATCCACACCTTCTTTGTGATCCTCGACATCCCCGTCACAAACATGATGGGCATAATCAAGATTAAACATGCCATTGAAAAGTTCAATGAATCTCAAATGATCTAGGAATTTCAATTCATTTAAAACCTAATTTTCAATTTTCGTTTTTCATGGTGGAAATTGGTAAATCATCATTTACCTAACTTCAAATATTTTGCAGTTGGATTATGGCATCCCTCTTCCGAGTTGTAGAATATTGTGTTGGATCCTAGCCTTAATATCTCATTTGGGTGTTTTATTAAGGACTCAATCAACTAACTTGAATTTTCTCACTTTTTGTAGATGTATGATTCTAACTGTGGTCTTCCCAAATCCCATGGAAAAATCTTTCCACATGAAAACGATATTCCACAATTCGATCGAGGAACACGAGATCATTCTTCACTTCCTCCACCTCCTCTTATTGTTCTCCCTGGCCCACGTGTTCGACGACTTAAAAAGCTCAAGGTCACTCAAGGCCTACACATCTTGGAGATGAAGTCACACGTTGAGTGGTTGAGGATGTTGAGTGTCGATGTCTCAAGGAAGTTGACTGGGTACTTCAATCACTTTCCGAATCTAATAATGAGTTCATTAGAGAGTACTATATGATGGACCACGACGTGACCCTCATTGATCTCACATATTTAATTATTGATGCTGAATCAACAATGATTTGATGCACTGGTCAAGTATATTTGTCTGGTAGATTAACCTCCCATACTTCTATGGACAATGGGAACATTAGAAGTCCAAAAAAGTTTTCTCTACGCAAGAGAAAGGCTAAGTCTGAGATAGTCCTGTGTACCATTCCAGAAGAGTCCATATGTTTCTACTACCAAGAGAAGGAGCATTAGATGCGAAGCTTCCATATTTACCTGGGAGATCACAAAGATGGGAGAGTCAAAATGTATGACTCTGCTTCAGGTAAAAATCCACTATCTAACTCTATCAAGTTCCTATTTGTAGATTCTTAATACATTATGTGATAAGATTTCATTTTGATGTTTTGTAGGATCGAAGAAAAGAAAGGAAGCTTAAAAGAAAAGGTGAACTAATTCTGATCACAAAGAAATGGATTTTAATCGCATGGTTCGAAGATCAGATTTTTGAGCTGCCACTTAGAGAGTTATGATTGATTGGTTAGGAATATGTAATAGAATAGTTTTCATTTGAATTTGCATTGTAAGGACAAGTTTTTCCGCACTTTTATAAATAAAATAAAATTTTGATTTTGTCTTATTTATATCTTTGCAATGTTATTTGTGAAAATTGATATTTGTATGTTTCTATTCTTAGCAATCTTGAAAAATGATTCTTAGTTATGTTAATTGTGGTAGTGTCAGAAATTTACTAAATAAGGAAAGATCCTCATCGCCCAAGTTTCAATTGGACAGAAACTAGGAATCATACAACTTGTATTGTGTGATGAATGGGAACCTTCATATTTGGGAAATTGAGACTAATTCCTTGATCACATATTAATGTGAGTCAAGTGAAGGACTAGGGGATCTAGTACACATTGTTGTGCGCTGGTCAAGTCCACCACAAATAACATAAGACTATTCGTTATGATTTACTAATAGTTTAGTAAATATGGTTATACTTAAAGGTTTAAGTGTAATTCTGAATCACTGGAAAAGTCTCAATGAGTAGCAGAACGAATAAGAAAAATCTATTAAGCATAAAGATAAAAGTTTCTCCAATCTGAAAAGAAGGGAGAGTACTTAAGTATTGTGTTTTATGATTGTCCTAATGATTATGAAACTGTATCACAATTGATCCTCTAAGGACACCTTAGTGCATAAGTATGACTAAGAAGAGGAATCTGGAATTGTTGAAATGGTTAAATCAAAAGGATGAGTCATACTTTGTTCCAAAATCAAGTTTTAGAGTTGTACTCCAAGATTGTGATTTGAGTGACATCATCTTAAGAAGGTTTATGACAATTATCAAATGTGGAGTAGAAAAGGTTCTTACATTTGTACATTTGAAATTGGTAAGTTATGATATCTTGGATAAGATAGAGACCAACTAATACCAATTGTGTGAGTTGTTTGTCTTGATAAGAATCCACACTAACTCTTGAATATTTGTTTGTCAAGTAATGTTCTTCGACAAGAGAATCTTATATGTCAAGAGACTAGTGGGAGTCTTAATGGTCTTGAAAAGTTTCAAGAACTAATCAAGAATAATTAATCACTAGCACACGACTTGTGGTTTATAATTTATCGTGTTGACATATTCTTGTTTCTGTGCCATTCGAGTTTTAAGTCCACTATGCATGTGAGTTCTATGAGTTCTCATTTTAATGCATAAAGGCAAAATACCTTGGTCAATGGAAAGTACATTGATATGTAGGGATGAGCTGCTTAATAACTTGGAAGCAACGGTGGGACCCTTGATGGCAAGAAATTAAGATTAAATAAGTTCAATCCATATGAGGTTGGATTTTTCAAAACAATTATCTTACGATGATGGTTATGACAAATTCACATGGATAGGAGCACATACACCATAAAATCTAAGTGACAAGGTTTCTCTCCGCTTCATGAAAATGATTGTGAGGAAACGCTTTCACTAGGAAGATGTTAAGGAGATAGCGATTGTGTAAATTGCATTCTCGAGTTCGATTATGATTACGACATCCCTCTTCATAGTTCGAATTGTGGGAAATAGCAAAAGGGTCTGAACATGTGGGACTTATTGCAATAAGTTCTGAATTAGTTTAGACATACATATAAACTATCTAAGGAAAGGTGTATGAGTTTGAGAAGCTTAGATAAAGGCTTATCGAAGCATATCGTATTAGAAATATGAACTTTGGAAGTCAATAAATAATGATATCTAAAAGTTCAGTTGTTTTCTGAGTACATGTCAAAGCTAGTGGGAGCATAAATGGTATGCTGGTATGAATACAGTTATCATGTTAGTGGGAGCATGATTATTATTTTAAGTGTTGCAAGTTAGCAATATTAATTATGGAAAACAAAAGCTTCAATTCACAAAGTTGGAGAGATTGAAAAGTTGTTTTTTCTATAATTAAGGGAGAGAATATTATACTTCATTTCAAATCTAAAAGCGTAGATCGAGACACTACTAGAAAAACAGCCTTTTACGACGCTCATTGCGCATCGTAAAAGGCTCAGACGATGTGCAAATGCGCGTCAAGGAAGGCCCTATCATAAAGAGAGACGACGCGCATTTACGACGCTCATTTATGACGCACAATTACGACGCGCGTTTACGACATGCAATGCGTATCAAGGAAGGCCCTGTCATAAAGGAAGACGACACACATTTGCGTGTCATAAACTTACGACGCGCATGTTAATGACACGCAATGCGTATTAAGAAAGCCCCTGTCAAGAAAGGCAATGTCATAAATGAAGATGACACACATTTTTGCGTATCATAATTTTAAATGTTTAAAAAAATATTATTTATAGATTTACTAATTTTCAAATTAAATAATACATTAAAAATCTCATAATACAAAATAAAATACCATAAATAACAAAGATAATTAATTTCACTAATAGGTCAAATACAAATAATTATTCCAAAAGTGAGTAAATGTTATAAAAAAAAATGAACTCATTTATATACAAGGACATCATCTAGCTTACTATGTGCCAACAACTCTCTATGTGTTTACTTTTGCTTGAGTCTTGTTTGAAGAACCAAAATCACCTTCAATCACCCAATTAAACTCTAGATCTTCTGTTGTTTGAAAGAAATTGGTGTTTGTAATCTATGAACAAAAAACACAAAGATCAAGGTTAACATTTGCTATATAGAAAGCACAACTGGACATATGAATATATAATACGCAACATAAACATTTTCATGAAAATGATATAGACAAATAAGTAAGAGTGATGATATTGATACCTTAATTATGCCTTTGGTGAATGAAATTTTAATTGGTTGATAGCAATACTTGACCTCTGAAAACAAATAAACAATGGATCGCATCATAATTAGCTCAATGAAGTAATTCTTATACATTGTCTCTACCAAAAGATTCATCATGGAAACATTTTTGTTGGAAATAACTAAACAAAAACCTAAATACTAAGCAAAAAAATTATAGTAGTCACCATTTAGAGCAAGACGAGGAGTCTGATCAGGCCATATGAGACCATTTAAGCAGAAATTTAAGTCATTTGGTGTATCTTCAAAGTCACCACTATATGCCCAGTATTTGCTACATTTGCATTTTCCTTGAGTAACCTCTGAAACCAGATGCAAATATTTAGAACTACCCTTGCACCACATTTACAATTTTATAAAATTTAAGAGATGAGTTTTAAACCTGGTCAACCCAATCCCAAATAAACCCTCCTTGCAGACAAAATTTGGTGGATCGATGCTGCTTGGGTGGAAGAAATAAGCTGTAATGGATAAAAGAAACAAAAAAATGAACTGCTAACAGCTTACAAAATCTCATGATAAAAATGAACCCCTTCTATTTCAGAATCTTTTGACTCTGATGAAGCTTCCAATATACACTAGGAGTAGAAGCATGCATGAAAAGAGTTCAAAAAAATATGGTATAGGAAAACAATACTGGTAAAAGACATTGTTGTGCACCATTATCATGTATAAGGTAAACTTAATCACAGAAATAGCTATCAATCAAAGAGAGCCAAAAGTTTTTACCGATAAATTAATGCCCCCCTGCAACAGTTTGTGTTTGATTCCTCTGATTCACATAACAGGATAACTCAGCAACAAACTCATGAGCTTCAGTAAGTTTTGAAGCATAATTATGTTTCATATGAAGTACACCCCCTGGTCATCTTCCTTGTATCCAATAACTAATGTCATTTAGTTGTTTCCAGTCCTCATCAGTGAATTGCAAAGCTTGATTTCATCTTCCATTAAACCACACAGTGAAAAAATATTTCTCATTGAGAGAAAACTAATCAGCCCCACCTTGAGCTTCACTGATCCAAGGAAACCTTCCTAAGCCTTTACACACAACTTCAGTTGCCTCTGGCTTCAATTGTTTGTGTATACTCTTTTGACCTCGAAACCCTATATCATTCGAAGTGTATAAACTTGACACACTTCTTTCTCGACTTGAAAGAATCATCATTTTAGAATAGGAACAACAAGTTTGAACCTCAGAAGAAAAGTTAATCAGAAAAGAAAGGCTTCCATATCTAATGCATAAGCAGCAAAATGACATGAAACCAAATTTGCAATAATTATATTTTCCTATTGAGCTAGATTGTTACAGAATGGAGTTATAATACCATAAACCTTTATCAGCCACAACCTTTATCATCAATTACTGTAAATGAAATATATCCACAAGGTGAATTCCGACAATATCAAATGTTTCCTGTTCAAACATTTTTTAAAAAATAAGTCATTTCTCATTAGAAATATATAGTATCAGCTCCCGAGGCTTAATTAAAAAACCTAACATGATTTATGGAATAAACCACCTTTAATGACAAATCATTTCTCATTCAAGAAATAGTACCAGTAGGATCTATTTGGAGAGACATTAGGAATTCAGCCATTTCGACTCACTTTGTGCTACTAGTGCAATATCATATATACACATAAACAAATGTCATTATTAATTATAATTCATAAATTCAAGTATTGGAATATCTTTTGCTTACCTTCACGATCTCTAGTTTACCAAGCTGAATGGCTTGTTCAAATCTATAATTAGGATTTGTAGCAACTTCTAAGCTTCATCAATCATTCCACGTGACTCCAAGAAATTAGCAACACTATCGAGAAAAAAAATATTCATATATTAAATTTATTTGGTTTATCTCAATCAAAATACAATGATACAAAGTAAGTTGCCATTATCAAACTATTATTGATCATTGATATTTTGACAAGATTGAGAAAAAGAGACCTGCACTGCATTAAGGGGGACATGCCCTAAAGAAACAGTTGCCACAACAGCAAAAATTCATCTGATATACTACTATGCTATTCAGACTTGTTATTCAAGAAAAGGAAAACAAAAGAGTCGAATTTTAAAAATATAAAGATAGGGTTTTCGATTGATTGTTCAGAGAGATGTGTGGTGTGAAAGATATATAAATACATAGAAATTGAAGTGGGCAGGATATAAAAATGAAATGAAACCTTTTTTATATAATAAAGATGATCAAAACTCAGACAAGTTCACACACAATTCTACATAAATAGATTTGACCTAGATGTTAAAATAGTCTGTATATTACAGTTTCTTGCCGTTTTTTTTTTTAATATAAAAATCTGATTGTTTTGTAGCTAAGTAATCAAAAACACCATAATCAAATCACTTTTACCCAAATGCTCAGAAGTCAAAACGGATTTAATGTTATGAACAGTTGCAAAATCATGATTAAATGGACATCACACATTAATTCTAGAGGAAGATTGTTAGATTGGATAAGCAATTAAGATTGTTAGATTGGATGTTCACCTTTGGCTAGAGGAAACCCAATAACAAGCATGAGTGCCATCATCATCAGCCACAAGAACCTCTAAATATTTGCTCACGTCTCTCCATAAACCTAAAACAACCCAGTAACAAGCATGATTGCCATTAGAATCAATAGCAACTATTAATAATAGGATTGAAAAAACACATATAGTCTTCAAGATTATCAAATGCTTCTACCAGCTCTAACTATCCATCTTCATAACAAAGAGACTCAGGCTCTGGACTCAAACTAGTCTTTTTGACCTAAAAAAATATCCAAATTTTCTAAATGTCGATAAATTCAATCATAAAGAAGAATATGGTAATAGTTGTAGATCAAAAATAGGAAAGCATACACGGATTCCTTCAAGATCCTGAGCAGAGTACGCATTTAAAAGCAAGAATATACAAACCATAATTTTTTTTGATAAAAGGGGAAAACCCCTTGGAAAAATATATTAAAAAAGAAAAAATATTACAAAGGGAAGAGGGCCACCGCCCCAAAAAAACTAACTACAACCCAAACTAAACAACTAACTAGAAACAACAAGGAAAAAAAATACAAAAATCTATCTAATCTCCGCCAACCAACCCACTTCCAAGTCCAATTCCACCGCAACAAGTGAAACCAAACATAGCTACTAAAATAAAAACCAATGATATAAAAAACAAAGCTCTTCCGTCTAGAACAATCTTCAAAGACATCAATCTTTAAGAAGCTCTTAAACCTCCACATTCCAGAAACCAAAACCCACCAACCTTCAAAGAAATCCCAAAAACACCAAAACACATTAAAAAGAATCAAACCCCTCACTAACCAGAAACTGAAGCTAATCATCATTAATAACAGGATCCATGTTGGTATCCAGCCCCGTGATACCATCGGTAGCTTCCACTTGATTCATAAAATTTTTATAAGCAAATTTATCCAATCCAAATTCTTCATACAAAGCTTCCTCACTTTCTTCATTGCAATAATCTTGAAAAACTCCAAAAGAATTGCTAACATTTAAATTAATCGGAGCCGCATCCTTAACATTTTGGTGGAACTTATCAAAATTTGAGCTAACTTTAAAATACCCTCCAGATTTTGGAACATAGCTCTGCGTAAAAACAATTTTATTGCCCACTTCCTCTTTTTTCAAATAATCCTGCTTAATTCCTTTATCAATACAACTTCCTAAATTACCATCAGGATATAAAGAACCCCCAAAACCTCTTCCTTTTTTATCATAACCTTTAGAATTACTACTTTGCCCTTTATCAACCAAATGAATTCTTTTTTTACCATTAAAATCAGAATTCTTCCCATTATACCCCTGCTCATTTTTGCTACTAGCTTTCCCTCCTTGAACAGATCTGTTTTCCGACAAAATAGAGTTATTCCCATAATAACCCTGAATGTTATTTCTAGAAAACACTCCAGAATTTTTATTTTTTGGATTATTCCCATTTTGCCCCTGTATGCGATTACCAGCCTCAGCCCCTAATCTTTCATTTTTCGAATTATTCCTATACTGCCCCTGGATCGCAGATTTTTTCCTCTCCCCTACAGCTGAATTATAGCTAACTTTCGACTTATTACCTTTGTTTTTCTTCACTACAGTTTCAAAACCATCATTCTTATCCTTGACTTCTTTAGTGCTAGCTAAAAGAACTTGCCTAAGATCCATAGAAACGCCTTCTTTACCTTTTTCTATTTTGCTTTTCTCCTCTTCTTCTTTCTTTTGATTAGCAATTATAATTCCACAGTTAGAGTCCTTATGACCATAAACTTTACAATGAGAATACTTTGAAGGATTCCAAGCATATTCAACTTTACATATGGAAATAATCCTTTCAAGGTGAAGAGTAGTTTGAATCACCAACCTCTTAGAAGTCCCCTGCTGCTACTATTCTCTGTTCTGATAAGTTGGCATGGGGATGGGGGGAGGTCCACTTATGGAACCACCATAAATAAAGCCAGGCAATACCATTCTCTTTGTCCCCTAATTTCCAGAATTGTTGAATGAAGCTGAAGCAGCATCACAGTGACGAAGTAGGGAAGAAGAGGTAGAAGAACGATTGTAAAACCAAAAGGATTAATATTAAAGACCTAAAAAATCGAAAATTGAGTTCTAAAATAGATATTATTTCAAAAGATAGAAGAAAATGGATGGGATGAGGGTTGTAGGCGTCGAGAAGCACTTCGAAACAAAAAAAAAACAAAAATACCTTAAATCTATAATTGTCTTACCCAGGCGTAAGAAGTCGGAGGGGTGACTCAGCGGACCGGTGTCACCCTTCTTCGCATCATCATCACACCATGAAGAGCCCTAAAAAACCAAAAAAAATACTAAATTAGCAGACTAGAAAAAATAACATCAACAAATGCTGTACCTGGGATTCAAAAACACAAACCCAATGTTTCGTTCTTTAATCTTGTGGTATAATGGGGCTTTTATTGGTGGCGGTGGTGAACCAGAGAGAAGACGAGGGGTGGTGGGTGCCTAGGTTGTTGTCGAACAGTAGGGGGTAGAGAGAGAGATAGAGAGAGAGAGAGACTTGTAGTTGGTCGTGTATTACCTGCATCAAATTGAAATTAAGGGAATGTTGATTTTATAAGATGACTTTGAAATCACAATATGTATATGGATGTCGATAAATTTGTTGCAAAAACCTGGAGAATCGACCTAGGTTTTCCCTGACTTGTGTTCGAAAAACCATTTGTTGTGGTTAATGGAAGAGAGAGAGAGAGAGAGAGAGAGAGAGAGAGATTTGTTATAGATAGGGCGGAGGCGGTGAACGAGATGTTTGATGATACTGATAAGAAGGAGATCGAGTAGAGATCCGATGAACGAGATGTTTGATGATACTGAAGATGAAGATAAAGGACCTAGGGCTTTTTCTTGCTAAGTAGAAGAGGCGGGGGGGGGGGGGGGATTAATTTTTGGGATTCAATAGGCGGGGTTCACTTAAAAATTATAAAGCGACACATTTACATGACACGCATTTTATGAAAGGCACCCTCCGCATTTTTTTTTCTTTTTTGACACTAATTTTAGGGCGCGCACAAATGCGTGCCCTCTATCCTTCAAATTTTGCAAAACTGACATTATCTTTTAGGGCACTTACAAATGCACGTCGTCTATCAGCGAGTGTCATTGTTTGCGCATCAATAAAGGGCTGTTTTCTTGTAGTGAGAAACTTTAATCAAATTTAGTCAAAGGACATATATGAATGTTATGTTGAAAAGATTCAACATAAGGGAATTCTATATATGGTAATATTATAGCAAGAGACTGGTAAAGTATCATGTCTTTATGTAAGACATTATTAATCGTATCCCATGCGCTTTGAATATAAGATTGTAACACCCAAAGTTTTGAAGTCCAAGAAAGGAAAGAAAAGCCCTAATTTTAAGGGTAGACTCGGCGAGTCCGAGCGGGATCCGGGTCGAGGAGTAAGCGACCGACTCGGCGAGTCGGCCAAGGTGACTCGGCGAGTCTGGTCTGAACGGGGAAAACCCTAATCCCGGGAGTTGTACCCTGTTTAAAGGGTGTTATGTCCCTCCCTCAGCCCCCATATCACCCTAGAGAACCAGTGCACCCTTGATTTCGTAAGAGCTTCCATTATTTGAGAGATAAAGCTTGGAGGAAGGAACTTTGGGGAAAGGAACTTGAAGATCAAGTGGGTTGCTTCAAATAAGGAGGTGTAGATCCGAGATCTACTTCAGTGGTGTTCATCTTGGAGGTAACAAGCTGCTAGTTTCCCTTCTTTGCACCTAGATCTATGTGTGTATTTGGGCATTTATGGCATTTGAGTGACCTTTCGAGCTAGGGGTTCAGATCTGAGGTTGTTACCTCAGATCCATGCTTATTTTGATCTAAAACCCCGTAAAGTATCAGCCCTTGAATTGATCTTGAAGCCCCTTGGCCTTAAACCCTAGTTTATGGCATATTTTGCCTAGATCTCCTTCTCTACACGTAAAGTTTGCAACTTTACGTGTGGAATAGGCTTGGGAAGGGTAGATCTACAGCTTGGAGTCCATGCATGACTCAAAAGTCCTCTGCATGTAAGGAGAACTGAAGGGACTCAACGATTCCTTTGAGTGGACTCGACGAGTAGCATGAAGTTGTGGAGAAACTCGACGAGTGGGATGAACAACTCGTCGAGTCTGTTCTTGGACTCGGCGAGTCAGGTCGCGAAACCCCCCCAAACCCTTCGAGTTGAGACTCGAATCAATGAGTCGGGTGGAGACTCAGTAAGTTGGACAGGTCAGGACTCAGAAATCGGTAGACTCGGCAAGTCATGGACTGACTCGGTGAGTCGAGTCGCGAATAGAGGGAATCGGATCATTTTGAACTCAACGAGTCAGTAGGGTGACTCGGCGAGTAGGGTTGACCTGGAAGGTTGACTTTAACCAGGACCTTGACCTTGGACCAGGGTTGACTTGGTTGTCTTTCGGGGGTCAGTTAGACTCAGTGTTGCATTGATATTGGTAGTTCGGGGAGCAAGGGGAGCAGGAGTTCCGTGAGTTGTCGGGTAGCAGCTAGTGAGATCATCAGCAAGTTCAGCTAGTGCAGGTGATTTTCCCTTGGTGTGAATGGGTCTAAGGCCACAATTCCGGCCCATGTAGTTATGAGTAGAAGACCCGGGGGTTAGCCCTAGGCACAGTATGCTAGTATGATTTTCAGGATGAGGTCCAGTAATAGCGGGCGGGTACCCAAAGAATTGTTTATATGATAGTTTATACTTGTTGTCTGTGTGATACATGTATGTGCCTGGTAGGGAGGTGAGTGTGGGCGAGGTCCCGTATCTCACCAATAGCAGAGTGTGGATGGGGTTCCATATCTCATTAGTAGCAGAATAGGGGCGAGGCCCAAACTAGAACAGGAGTGAGAGTGGGCTAGGCCCGTACCTTACTACCATTAGGAGCGTGGACGGGGTCCCATGACTCATCAGTAGCAGGACATGGGCGAGGCCCAGGATAAGCGAGGCCTTAGGACAGAACCAATTGCATGTGTTAGTTATGTGTTGTGAAATGTTTATGTGTTATTATTTGTTGGCGGGCGAGGCCTTGTGACAGGTGAGGACTAAGTAAAACAGATTTGTATCCGAGCGGAGCTCGAAGCCAGGCGGGGCCTGGATCGGCGGGGCCGTTGAAGCGGGTGAGGCCCAAGGTAGGGGGCGAGGCCCAAGATAGAGGGCGTGGCCCAGTATGTGCAGTATGTGGTTATGCATGGTATGTGGTAGGGTGGGGAACTCACTAAGCTTCGTGCTTACGATTTTCAGTTTTGGTTTCAGGTACTTCCGGTAGCGGAGGGAAGAGCTCGGGGTGATCGCATGGCACACACCATAGATTAGATAGCCTGGGAATGTTTACTCTGATAATAAACATGTGTTTTGAAAACTTATACTCATATTATGTTTTGGAAATGATGATTTTACTTTGAGTAGTGAATTATTAAAAGAAATTTTAGGTTTTAAATTTTGGGTCGTTACAAAGATCGATTGCATATGCTGTAATATTTGATCATTCTAATTCTCCAAATGTCTAGGGCAATAAGAGGGAAAAGGGACCAGAACTAGATATGACATTATGACTAAATAATTAAACAACTTTCAAGGTCGATCAAAGGTTGGCCGGGAATTCGTCACTTGTGAGCAGTTGGAAGTATAGTAATTAATGGACCATATCGACATTATTATTATAGGTAGGATTCAAAGGAAACTTTTATGTCTATATTAGAAACTTTTATGCAAGACTGTTGTTCAAAGGAATGTACTTTGAATGTGAGACTTCATATCTATGGAATTGCCTTGCAACAATCTCCAATAGATCACTTTGTAATTTCATTGGCAAAGTCTTGCTGACTTTGGTGCTATGACATTACAAAAGGATCGTTGCATAAAATGTTAGAATCTAACATATTCTAATAGTGGCAAGAATTTTGTATTCTTACACTAATGATAAAGATTAGGAGTTATGAAATGAGTATCATTAGAAATGTGTTCAATTGATTTATTTCACAAAGTAAGGACCATAGGTAAACATAGTGTGCATGCTTGGAGCATGGGATAACTGTTGTTATAATTCAAGTAATAAGTTGATTATTTGAAACATTATACAATGAATAATGAGTAATCAATATGGTGATTAAATAAAGGTGTTTTATTTGTAGTCAAAAGTTTTGGGGCCAGATAGGATTAGTATTATTCTTGTGTTTCACTTTGCGTGTTTTGACTTCCCAAATAATAAGATTATTCAAACCATCCATAGTCGATAAATACTTTGGAAGTGGGTATTGAAGCTAGACTGTCATGAATCTGACTGTAGATTGTCTAAAGCGTTTAGACATAGCAAAAGTCTGCTGCAGTGTTCATGAGTGCTCATGTAATAAGATTAGAGTATTGGATTAAACCCATGCTCACTTGAATCACTTCATAAATTTTATCACGAGTGATTACTGAGATGATAATATCTTATATTCTTGAAACCAAGACGTGTGAGTCGTAGTTTACAAGTCGGTTGCATATTGACATATGTAAACGCACCAGTAACTTGGTGTTATAAAACATATTGTTGTATGTGATTTGAGAGTAGGTACAAGTGATCATTTGAGTCAAAGTTTATCCGTTCCCTTTACCCTAAGAGGATAAAAGCGATATATGTGGGCCCCTCAATGATTTAGTGATGACACCTAAGCGCTTGGCCAAGCTTGGACTAAGTTGATGTGTTTAATTGTAGTCTGTTGTCATTCATCATAAATAAGAAATCGGGAAACAACACATAGACTTAGAGAGTGATTATAATCCATGTCTCATGTCTATACGATATCTAGAATGGAGGAATATATGATCCCTTATCTAAAGGACGTGTTACTGATAAGATCAGAGTTGAAAGCGGGTTTAGAAAGCTACAATTGTTGATTAGATTTTTGAAGTCGTACTTGCAAAATAGTTATTAGACTTATCCAAGTGGGAGACTGTTGGATTAGGTATCTAAGCCCATAACTATTTTGGTATGTACTTGACCTGATTATGAGCATGGTCTTTTTGGGTTGCCTTCACCATAGCAACTGATATGATGAATTAAGGAGAAAGAGGATTAATTATGATTTATTAATATATTATATGAATAATATATTAAAGGAGCAATCATATTATTTAATTGAGATTGATCAATAATTAATTTAGAATTAATTTTATGGTCAAAAGAGATTAATTAAACTTAGGGGACTGAAATTGCAATTATAAGATAATTGGTTTTTGAGCTGTAGATCCCTTAGGAATAAGGTGGACGAATTCAAGGTGGAAGCCCACTTGGAAGTCGTCCAAGCCTTGATTCTGGAAGGATCGAAAGGGCTGCTTGGTGGCTAAGCAATCCAATTAGGGTTTTGACTGAAACCCTAGCACCTCACCTATAAAAGGAACCCTAAGGCTCCCAAAATTCGACCCTATGCTTTCCAAGAGTGCATTTGACGAATTTTGTGCCTCCCCCTCCCTCTCCTAAGTCATCTTGTTGATTGTGGTGTTTGTGACTCCATTAGAGGTGCAACACTTGGGGCACTAAGCTTTCAGAAGTCAAG